CAGAACCCTTGATCCAGAACTCCTGATCCAGAACTCCTGATCCAGAAATCCTGATCCAGAACTCCTGATCCAGAACTGACCCAGTCCTGTTTTGCCTCCAACGATCAAGACTTCCTGTCGTCTGTTAAAGTGGACAGGAAGTGTGGAGAGGAGTAGAAGGAGAACCTGAAGATGTTTGGAAACGTACTTCACAGGAAGCAGCATTCTTTAACCTGGGTCTGTTTGGTTAAAGGTCAAAGGTCCGATAGGACCTACTGAACCCTGGTTACCTGAGTTTGCTGCGGAGCGTGGACACCTCCCTGCTGAGGGCATCGTTGGCCTCCGTGGCCTCCTCCAGCTCTCTCTGCAGCTTCCTGCGGGCGGCCGCCATGCGCTGCGCCTCCTCCTCTGCCTCCTCCAGCTGATGCTTCAGCTGCTTCAGCCGTACATTGCCCTTTTCTGCCTAAACAGAAGCAGGAGGCCAGAGTTAGATTCAGTCTGTGCCTCCTCCTTCTCCTCCTCCTCCTCAGACCCACCTGGTCTTTGAATTGCTGTGCCTGCTTCCTCTCATCCTCCATCTGGGCGCTCAGATCCTTCAGCTTCTTCTCCTTCTGCCGCAGGTTCTTGGTGTTGGCCTGACGCTCTCTGAGACAGACACAGTTCAGTCTTATGTCAATCATTTGAAAACCGTGACTCCTGAACCTCCTGTTTACCTGCTCTCCACTTCCAGCTGCTCCTCAGCCTCCCTCAGCTTGGCCTCCAAAGCAGAGATGGAAGCCTTCAGCTTGGAGCGGCCCTGATTCTCTAGCTCCTGCAACTTGACCTTCAGCTCGCGGTTCTGTCTCTCCAGTTGCTGCCTGGATCCATCTTTGGTCTGAGAGGAAGACCTCTCTGCTGTAAGTTCTGCTCCCAGCTGGTCCACCTTCAGAAACAGAGACAAGAGGATGGGTCCAGGTGAGCTGAGGAGACTCACTCAGGACACACTACGATCAAATGACAGAAGTAATCAGCTGCTGACAAGAGCAGGAACCAGAAGTGAGGGATTAAAAACATAACTAAACAAACAGGACAAGTTCAAGCTTAAATATGACTTTTATACTAAAGAAAAACATATTTTGATGAAGAGCAGAACACAAATAATCTGCTGAAATGATCCAAAGGGAGGAAACTGTTCAAGTGTTGAATACAAACATGTTGTCCTGCCTTTCTGATTCGAGATTTTGTGTTTGACTCAATAAAAACGTATTATTTCAGATTACATATTCAGATGAACATAACAACTTCTACGTTGGTCAGGAAGCTGTAGTTTGGTTCTTGTTCTTTTATTCTGTCAGGAAGCTGTAGTTTGGTT